CTCAAATTACGGGGCAATGCTGAAAAGTCCCTCCAGAACTCAATTGACCGATTGATTTCTGTGTTAGAAAGCGACCTATATTCGTCGATTTTAGGTTTGAAAACATTATATCTACTATCCATCAGACATCCAGGAATATTATTATCAACTTTTATATGAAGTTCCTGAAGAAATCCCTGCGCAAACTTCACCGAATTTCCTCAGTGTATTTTCACTATATTTTTAAACTTGATTACCTCGTTTTGTATTTTTAATCACCTTTCGTTTTTAGAAATTTGAAACAGATTCCAAGTAATGGTTCATTAGCCAAATTTATATTCGTCTTCGATACAAAAACATCCCGTTAATGTCTACTATTTTGTAGTCTGTTGGCTAGATAAGGCTTTATTGTGCTCACGAATTCGTTCACATCCAAAAGTATTGGATTGCGCAACATTTCGATCTACCAGAAAGCATCTGATAGTCTGTCTTCATAATACTCGCAAATTCTCTAGCAAAAGTGCAGGTCTATTCTTCATTTGTGTCTAATTTGGCCCGATTCTTCGTCCAGGAACGTACTGTTTGCTGATCAGACGTAATCAAACATTCTTAGTTGGCTGGTCCTACGTCAGGGCATTCAGCATGCACTCTGAACCACCACTACTACCCCTTTAAAGGCCTAACTGACCACTGAAGAAAATTTTATGAAACGTGTTTCAATCGACTACAATTTTATATTCTTTTGTTATATAAAGTTTTCTCATTGGATTTCTGATTTTACATCCGGGCCTCGCACAGTGTCCAGTGTTGGTCGATATATGTAGAACGTCGATTAAGTCAAGTGAGCAAATATTAAGCAACTTGTAGCAAGATTCTTGCCTGAGCAATCTTCTCCATCTGATTCCTACACTTAGATTCAGATACAGCGTTATGCATATTAGTTCACGTGTTAGGTTTTTTTAAGGAAACCGATTTATGCTAGGCAGAATGCACACAAAATTATCACAGTCTTCCCACATTCATTCACACTAAATTGGAAATCTGGAGAATTTATAATCACAAACTCGTCGTTTGCCATTTTCCTCTAGGATAACAGCGATGCGCAAGACACTTTTCAGTCAGTGCCAAAGGACGACCAAGGTAATATGGGAAATACCATACATATTTTTGTGAACAGAGTTATTTTCCGCTTTTGTTTGCTACTCTCAAGCTTTATTCACTCCGTCTAAGTATTGGTCGAAGAGGCATGTCACAAATTAGTTGTCACAGTGACGTTTAATGAATGTTTGTTGTGTCATTTATTATCTTTTTATGCGATTTTATAACTGCGTTGGAATTTGATCACTATGCCTAACCTTTCGGGACTGTATGTTAACACCTCGATTTGTTTCTTTTTGTGTTTGTTTAAACCATTTTTGTCGATTCCTTTAGCCCCCATTCTACCGTAGTCAGCTGCCAAGACACCTTAGCGGATCCCAGTTCTCCTTACCAGATACACGTCACCTTAAAGCACCTGCTTATTAGGTCGGATATTTGAGTGCTAGCTAAGAGCATGCACAATGATTTTTGCTTTGACATCCTTTGCTGCCCTTTTGAAATTTGCAACTGTTTCTCTATACTTACTTCTAAGCTAAGTACTTGGGACGTACAGACTTAGATAATTTATTTAAGCAGGCAGTTAGACACTCCTTAAATTGTCTTCAATTTTTATTCATACGTGGTATCGTGGACGGAGAGGTGGGTGCAGTTACTTTTCGACTTGAAAGTGAATTTGCTAATGGTCATTGTTAGCTGTTTTGGTCCTAGATAACCGACATTGGTATACATAGTAGCTGTTCCCCAACGTCTATTATCGAGATGTTTATCCACCTCTGTAACATGCGTTTGCGTAAAACAGAGTGCATCCTTGAGACTTGAAAAACTGCCTGCGTATTGCTGCTTTGTAAAACGCGCGACGCACAGATCAGTGCTGCCACAGCTTTCTTCGTTCTAGAATGCTTGCTGGAAGTATTTTTCTTATTTGGCTTAGCAACTCTGGTTTCTATTTGTAATTTTCCTTTTAGGAAATACGTCGCCCTTAGAAGAAAGTGAATGGGAGTACTTGGAGGTTGTATTAAACAGATCTCCAGGACAGAACCAGAGCTTCGGATTTACCATTGCTGGGGGTTATGATGCCCCACAGGAGAATGGAGATCCCAGCGTATACGTGACAAGGCTGGCACCCGGCGGTGTTGCAGATGTTGATGATAGACTACGGTAGGTACTTGTTTTTGGATGTCCCTGCAACTGTGATCTTGCTGAATGCTTTATGGATTTCTGTTAAGAATAGTTTCGCAGACGTTTATTTTTATTTTCATATCTCAGTTTATGGAAACTTTGTCGCGCATAATCATATATGCTAACTAGTAGCTGTTACATAACTATTGCTTTTACTTTATGCGATAAATGCCGAAGAATAAAGAAGGTCCAGTCGAATAAATACAGGGATTTGTAGGCGGGTAAATGAAGATGGCCCTCCAGGATATTCTGTTAAGTCTTCGAGCAGTTGATTTATTTTGACGTGGCAGTACAGTTGGGTAATGTGTACGTCAACAAATCATGGAACAGAAAATATTTTTATTCGGATCATCTCATAACAGCATCTAAACTATTTGTTTTAGACCGTTTGATCAGATCATTTCTGTCAACGGAACCGATCTTACTTGTGTATCCAACGAGGAGGCCGTACAAATTCTACGGGATGCTGGGGATACTCTGGCTCTGGTCTGTATGCAATTAGTTCTTAACAAGCGTATTTAAAGAAAAAGCGGCATTTATTCTTTAAAGTTTGACACTGGTTTTGACCCTTTTAACTAGTATAATTACCAAAACTGCTCACGCTATTCATAACTGATTAGATATATTTGTGATAAGTGTTCCAATGGAAGTGCCTTGGCTACAAATTATACTGGCAATTTTTGATATTGTTTATTTTCGTGGTTCTTGAGACACGGCTGTTCAGAAGCCCTCTCCCGATGTTTAAATTTCGATAATGCCTTGTGTTATCAAAATACCCGTTTGTTATGTTTGTGAATAGATGTGTTGAATATTAGAAACTACAATGGCCGTTCATCTATTTAAACTGACTATGGGGAACGAGAATCCCACACAACCAGGATATTCCACAAAATAGGCTCAAATCATCCTCCTATATTCGAACCATGCAACCTGCCCCCGAGACACCACAGCTAAATGGCTAACCTAAGCATGAATCAATATTTAATTCTTTGTAAATTCTAAATAGAACCTCTTATGGGACCGAATTTTTTCATTCGCCATTGCCTGTCTTAACAAGAATGCCTAAAGTACCATGCGTTATTTTAAGTGTCTGATACATTTACATTCCAGTGTATGAAATTTGGTTTGAACAAAAAAGAGATCAGACCTATGGCTTGCTGGTTTACAGGTTTTTGATCATTTAGATCATTCGACGTTATCTCGGAACCGAATCCAACTCCGAAATGGCCTTCCCAATTCCTACAAAAAGAGCCAATGAGACCCGAGCTATTCCTAATGCTGAGGCGGAACTTGATGGGGAGGCCCCCAGTGTCAGCGAGACGTACTGGTATGAGGTAAGAGAGCAATAGGAAGTTGTTTGCTCTAAAAACGGCCACCCATGTGTTTGACTTGCTTTGGTGAATAAAATTTACCATTCTTTGAGGAAAAACTACATCAACTATGTTTCCTGCACAACGAC